CTGGGTAAACAAAAGCTTTGTGTCTTCTTGTTTTCATTCGTTTATGGTCTTATCTTCGAGTGTCTGAGCTGAGAGTTAAAGAGATTGTTCAATCGGAATTAGATCTTGGCGCAATAGATATAAACTATGGTAAGAGGAAAGTAATACTACCACACACATCATCATAATCTTTGCAACATAGCCGTTTTTGTTATTAATAATGATGAAATATTCATTTCTTTTGTCTCTATTATATATATTATTTGACAAGCAGATTTAATAAAGGGAAAAAGCACAAAATAGCAAAAGACCGGTTGTTAATTAACCGATCAACATATGCCATTTATGCGTTTAAGCATCAAACTAATTTGCCCCTCTTTATTCCTTGTTTACCCTCACTCGCGATTCCTTTTTTTCCCGATGAATTAATTTATTCATTTTTTCCATTAAATTCGATATTACGTGTACACCCAAAATCGAACGCTGGGGTTTGGAGACCAATAACTATTTAGTTTCAACTTTATTTACAAATGTTGTAACTTATTTTTTGAGCATAGCATATAGACCGGCATATTTATAACACCCTTCTTGCTCTCACGGAACCCTATACAGCCACATAGCCGCTTCGATTACCCTCTCTTCTGATACTCCCAAAGCAAAATAGAGACAGGGCGACGAAACAGAGTTTTGTGGTAACCGGAAGAAGCTAGCAATCCCCCCGCCGACAGTTGATTATTCAGGTAAACCCAACCGCCACACCCACCGGAGCATCATGGTTCGCCATTTCCTTTATCACATATAGTACTACCCTTTTACGGCGTTTTGGGTTTTATTTGGGTGTTCTGATGGGATTACTCTTCCGATTTCTGTTTTCATTTTCTTTTCGGAGCCAAATCTTGTTCGGGTGATTTGCCGTTGTTTCAATCGATAGTGGGAAGTGATTCCCCATTTGGATTGTTTTTTAATCTTAGATTTTCCCAGAAATATCACCTAAGTGTCAAAATATTAGGTCTTGAAACCAGATCTTCAATAATTCAAACAAAATCTTAGATCTCCAAACCAGATCTTCACATGCATATATGCACATTCGCTCCGATGGTTAGCTAGATAAGCTTTGGGATTTCGACTCTTCCAGACAGGTAACTTTACTACAAACCCGGGTAGCCCTGTATCTTATGTTATTGATCTCCAACAATGTAATTAGATACCCGAATATATGGATGTCTAAGTTTGAGTGTGTGGCCTTATAAATCAGTATGCGGGTGTCTTTTTGTAGGTGATCGTGACTTCAATAATCGAAGGCGAATTCGATGGAACCCTCCAAAGTGCCTTCGCATGGGCTGATGAAGTAGATGATCCCAAGGTGGATCACATGGAGATGTTATCTTCACCTTGCAGTCTTGTTTGTTCTTGAACAGACGCCCCAAATACAGTTCATCTCCCTTATATACCACATCCAATATGACATTCTCTGTTTGATCCAATCCTGAGAAAATTCGTCCATTAAATACATTAGATGTCTTTAACTTTTTTTACTCTTCAATGTAATGTTCTTTTAGCAGCCATTCAGATAATCGTCCATCATATTTAATAACACTTCACTAATATTAATAGACAGCTATATAGCCTCATATACTAACATATATTATAGTTATAGGAGCAACATAAAATCTATGAAAGAAAATATCACACTATAATATAATTTACAGGCACGCGATCCGTTGAATATAATAAATATAACAATTTATGGAACAACATAACTTTTTGAGAGACGAATATAGCACTCCATTAATGTTAATAGACGTCTACAATACACTTATATCATTACAAACCTCCATCATTTTCAAATAACCCGTTACAAGTTTATATCTGGCCCGCACCAAGTTTATATCCATCCAGCAACATAAATCGCCACACCTCCCGCATCTTTCATCCACCACCCATGTTCTGCTCGGACCAGATCGCTGAGGACTTTCCAAAGTTGCACCATTATGATATCTGGTTCACATAGTTGTGGTTATTAATAACAGAATCACTTCAATATTAGTCATAGATATTCATAAACGAAATGACTGTACCAGAATATATGTGTACCTGCTCCAACCGGTTGTAGCGCTACATGAAATTAGAGGGAGGAAACCACTATTTATGGAGACTCCACATACCTAGGTGTACGCAGATATTTTCACTTTCCCGCCCACTCACTACAAAAATCTTGTTCCAACATTAGTAAATTACAATAACTATCCATCCCCTCAGCCTATCTCATGCATATGTCAGGCGGCTTATAGGTTATGTTGTCTCCCCATTTAATGCTACAAGAAGCGTATATGTTATCGCCAACTCCTCTCGCTCTTAAACTCAGTTGTTCATAACATATTATTCTAGCTCCACATAACCACGCGCGATACATGGCAGACGGCGTAATATTAAGAAATAATTTTTTTTTCTTTCGGCATCCTTTTGCCATTTTGTTCTAGCTCATAAACATCTTGTTGATTCCCTAATAAAACCCCCATCCTTTGCCATCCACCTCATTATCCCTTTAATAAAAAGTTGTTGATATGTCGTAAGGAGAAGAAAACTTAGTGTTTTTTAATGGTGGCATGAAAATGTGACATGTCAAATTTTCTAAAATAAACGAAATAATTTGATTAGTTGAGTTAAAACTAAATAAATCTCATTTACAAATAAGAAAAAATAAATTATATTATATGTGAATGCATTCATATTATATACCAACAATTCAAAATTACAAATAAAACAAAAAAAAATGGATAGAAAAATAAATCATAAGTATCCTTTTAGAAAATTTTTTTTATAATAATGTATATATGCAAAAGAAGTATAAGTAAAAGTAAGAAATAAATATCTACGACTTTGGTTTTCGGTAAAAATATCGGGCTATATCATTGGTTTAAAAAAATCTCCAACCCACCTTTATTTTAAATCTTTTAATTTAGAGAAAAAATAGAGATGTTATTTTTTCTATAATTAGAGGAAAAAGTAACAGTTTTTCTTTTTCCTGAAAAAAATAGAAATAGGTTGGAGAGAAATTCACCTATATATTTGAGGAAATATAGAAAAATACATTGGAAATGATCTTAATATTTAATATATTATTCAAACTTAAGAAAAAAAACAATATGAGTCAAAAAGACAAATAAATAAATAAAGAAGAATATTTTTTTATCAATTTTATGATTTTGTTCGAAATATTTAAAAATATTATCTTACACATATTATTTCTTTCATGCATATACTTTTCCAACATATTAAACTATTATTTCATGAATCAAGTTTTTTTATATGTTGTGATCCATTATATTTTATATTAACACATATATCAAAGTTAGAAACAGAAGAACTCTTAATTTTTAATATAAAATATATTACTTTACACTTTAAATCATACACATATAAGTTTATGTAGTTATCACATTTACACTTTTTATTTAAGGAAGTATTTTAAAATCTTAATTAATATTTTTTATCTTCAATTTTTATTGAAATATATAACATTTTTTATTTGATTTATCATTATTTTTTATTATAAAATATTTATATAAGGTTATTCTTAATACATAATTAATAATGTAAAAATATAGCATCTTCAATATATAATATTAATCATATTTTGAACATATAAGATATTTTATAGTCCGCACACGGTGCAGGCCGATCATCTAATTATATGTATATATTGAATAGTTATTACCATATATCGGGTAAATACCTTTCTGATAAAAGTAATATTACCAAATTTATTATGTAAACTGTAAGGAAAAATAAAAACTCCTGAAAAAAAAAATGTAAATTAAAACACCGAAAAGAAAAGAGGATTAAGGACCCAAAGTTAAAAATGAGATCCTCCGGTAACAAGTAAAAATTTGAAAATTTATAATAAATATAAATTTGAAAATTTATAATAAATATAAATTTGATTGTATGAATAAATACTTCTAACCTTATTGAAATAAAATGGAATACATATATACGCATTTTTGTTGGTTGTGTAAAAAAAAACCATTTGCGAAGGAATTGCAATGGACTATAGCAAATCTGTTGCAAATATATATTTTTTTTTTTTGCAAAAGTTTAGGGTTTAAGGTTTATGATTTAGAGTTTTATATAAAACAAACAAAAAGACGTATATATTTATTCAATTTTGTTTTAATATGGTTAGAAATATTTATTTATATAATCAAATTTATGGTTATTATACATTGTTAAAAGTATATAAGCGTTTCTCTTGTAACTCTTTTACTTATCTTTTAACATTAACTATATCGTATATTGATTTTAATATGATATACATTTTTCAAGTTTCAGATATGGTATCACTAAAACATCATCTATTTCCATTATACATATTTCTAATCATTATTAAATGAACTATCGATTCTCCTTCTTTTCTTCTCTTCCACTCTCGGTCTCTATCTCCATTTTCCTTCTCTTAGCCACTCTATCTCCCTCTCTTCGGCTTCTCTTCAGCACTAGTTTTTCCTCTCATCTCTGCTTTCTCTCTCTCTCTCTCTCTCTCTCTCTCTCTCTCTCTCTCTCTCTCTCTCTCTCTCTCTCTCTCTCTCTCTCTCTCTCTCTCAAACTCTAACAATTTTTGAATTTAATTTTTGAATAGAGAGAAAGAGAGAGACATTGTTAAGTTGTTGAATTTGTTAGATTTATGATTTGTTAAATTTAAGATGATGAATTTGTTTTAATTTAAAATTGTTAGTATTTGTGTTTTGTAAGATTTTGGATTTCATTTTGTTAGATTGATGAATTGTTAGATTTAGGTTTGGAATTTGCTAGATTTATATTTGAAACTTATTAGATTTAGGTTTGTAATTTGTTAAAATTAGGTTTTAATTTTGTTAGATTTAGAAATTATTAGATATATAATTTTTTTTGGTTAGATTTTTAAATTAATAATTTTTTATAATTTAAAAGATATATTTAAATATGTGTGTTTTTTTGTTAGATTAAAAAAATTATTTTGGTTAATAAAATATTTAATAGCTTGCGACGGATTTGCGCGAAATGTTATAAGACCACTCGCACATCTGCCACAATATTTGCGACAGATTTACGATGAACTTTATAATATCCGTCGCAAATCCGTTGCAAAATTTGTAATGGTATTACGACGCACACTTTCACGGCAACTTTATAATACTCTCTTAAATTTTTTCGCACAACGAATTTACAATACTTTTTTATTCATTGTAAATTTACTACGTAATTGCAACGAATATCAATTTGCCACTAATGAATTGCGACAATTTTGCTGTCATCGCAAATCTATCGCTACTAGTGATTTGCGATGGACTTGCGACCGTTTTGTCCGTAGCAAATCAAATGTTTTCTTAGTGTGATTTTAGTACAGGTTCTCGTAGTGTTGCCAAAGAATCCGAAGAGCTCTCAGAAAGGTATAAATATGTTTGGTTTTGATTCGATTTTGATGTTTACTTCTTTAACTGTTAAATTGTCTAAGACAATGTCTGTAGAGATCGGACCAAGTAGTTTTTCTTTGAGAAAGAAAAAGATTAGGAATTTTGTTTAGAGATTATTGTTTTGAAAAGAAAAAAAAAACAATTTTGTTCATAAATAAAATCTCTTTTCAAATGATGTGATTAAATTACAAGAGATTTATGAATAGCATGCGATTATTAGAAATGAATTATAGTACTAGTCGTCGCAATACACTTGTGCATGTATCTTTTACTCTAGATTAAACTTAGGGAAGCCACAAGAACAGCACATGAATAAACTTGTATCATCCTTATCGTTCAGAACCAACTCACCCATACAATGTGTTTTACATAAATAGCAAATCGGCCGAGACTGACTTTTGTTTGGAAGCAAATCAAATGTTCCCTTGTCATGTATCTCTAAATCGTATCCAGGTCTCGGGTGTAATAGATTTTTAAATACGCATTTAGTATGAAAACTGGAGCTACAATCACTGCACCCGTAAAACCAGCTCTTTGGGTATACTTCCTCTTCGCATATCCCGCAACAATATGTTGAATTCACATTTCCCTCACCATAGTATAAGCAGAGAGGATGGCCATCGTATTTGTGTCTCACATACGTAGGTAGAGTAGCGCATGTGAAGCATAAACTGAAGCCGCCACAATCATCTTTATTAACACAACGTAGATACATCCAATGTAACGAGTCACAAACTTTACACCTCTTATCTAAACTTAGGTATGTAAATGGGAACAACCAATGTGGATGGCTTTCATGTTTAAATGCATCAGAAATTGAAGCACATCTCACATCAATATTAATGTCGTCATTTACAGTATATGAGAAACCTGTGCAATAACGTAGACACGCTCTACAAACAATATAGTTGTTACACTGAACTTTGGCACACAAAGTAAGTTTTTGGTTGTGCACCGGGTGCCTTTTTTCCAGAGGGAGATTGGCGCATCCATTGTGAAGTATGAAATCACATTGCGTGCATACGTAACACATTTTAGAGTTAAGAGGAAGGGTGCATGCATAGCAATGTTTACCTTCTTTGAGTCCTAGTGATGACATCTTCAGATTGTGCTCATGGCTAAAATGTTTTATTAGGTTCTGGTCTATCACTTCGAAGGGCATACGTTCTTTTTCTTCGGGTATCCCTTCGAGTTCTTCTCCATCCCAAATGAACATATGTGTTGCACACTTTGAATGAACAACATAAGAGCAAATCAAGCAAGAATATGCTCCACACTCTCCATTAACAGGCTCACGACATACCCCACAAATCCACTTCCCCGGGCCAAGAGAGGCAACGCGAGAGATGCGGTGGTCGTGGCGATTGATGTGTATAACACGTGGTAAGGAGATGCATTCTCTGTGTACTATGAAACAACATTGATGACAAACACACGGGTAGTTTGAACTGTATAACCCACATGCATCACAAGTGAAGGAGAGATTTATCGGTATCTGGTGGAGCTCATGCTCGTGGGCTTCAGCTGCGTTCAAGATCAGAGGTTCTCTCGCACATTGGATACATATAAGAAAAGCACATTGTGAACATTGATACAATGGTTCAAACTCAAGGTCTTCACATAGAGAGCATGATTCAAAACCTCTACCAGACCTTGTGTCAGACCTTATGAGCTGGAGAGGGTGTTTATGTCGAGAAGGAATGTTGACGTTGATGCATTCCTCGTGGACATAAAAATCGCAGAAATCACACTTGTAGCCTTGCTTGTTGTCATGGCCATCTTTGTAACAGGCATAGCATTTTGATGAGATTTTTGTAGACTTTAGACGAAAATCACCATGAGAGGGGCATAGTTTTAAATCTATGTTGGTCCATTCTTCTTCCATCTTTTATAGGAAATTTTTTTAGTTTCTCTTCTCCTTTTCTTCTTCTTTCAGAGAAAATTTGTTTTATATTAAAAAAGAACAATAGAAAAAGAAGAGAGGAACAAGAAATGAATTGATTATTCCCTTTCTGGTTGGTAGCTAGATTTTATAGTTCAGTTGATCTTGAATTGGAACATTAGATTACCTACTTTGATAATCAAAACTAACGAATAACTTTACTGGAAAGAGAATCGAGTCCTTTGCCTAATGAATGAAGGGAATCGAGTCCTTTGCCTATTGACTGATCCCATAGTTACAGAGATTCTCCTTTGATATAAATCAAATATTCTTTTTTTTTTCCTAGACTAATGATCTTGAATTAGACACGATATAAAGGCATTGACTCATCCTACTTGTAACTTCAGCTTTACGCAAATAAATAAGGGAACCAATACATATGATATGCTAGCTTAGCTAAATTCCACAAACTGTTATTTCGCAGGTCAACTGCTAGTGTGTATTGGGTGATGTTAGAACCTGTTTGGCATGGATGTCTGCTACAACATTATTGTCATGGAGGAAACGAGTTCTGGGTTTTGTCATGGGTAGGTCAGGCACACAATATATATCTTGAGTTGGTTCATACTAGATGTCTTCATCAAAACACTATTGAACTAATAACAAAATAATCATTATTAAATCTAGGCACTAACGGTTTATATTTTATAACTAATTTTGTTGTTCTCTACAATTCTTAAATTACTAAGAATAAATCATCAATACAAATAAAAACTGCATGCATACGTTTGAGAGCTTTTGAAATCAGTTGCTAACAAATGCAATATGGTAGTGGTGATGGTGTATGTGTAGGATGGATGGAGAATCAATAGATTAGAAAGATAATGTCTTTAGAGATCGGACCAAGTAGCTTTGTTTCGAGGAAGAAAGAGATTAGAAATTCATCTAATTATAAGAGTTTGTTTCGGAAAAAAAAATCTGTTTATAAATATAAGCTCTTTTTAAATGATGTGAATAAAAGAAATTTGCGTGCGACTATACATTTGCAGAAATTTGCATGCGACTATCATACTTTAGTCCCTATCATATGTATATACAAACTGAATAGTTATTACCATATATTGGTAAAATATCTTTCTGACAAAAGTAATATCACCAAATTTATTATGTAAACTGTAAAGCAAAATAAAAACTCCTGAATAAAAAAAATGTAAATTAAAACACCGAAAGGGAAAGAGGATTAAGGACCAAAAGTTAAAAATGAGTTCCAACAAAACTCATCATCTCTCTCATTTTTCTTTCAATGTTTTACACTTTTTGTTTTTCGTCTGCTTAAAACAATAATTTATGGGTCTTCAATGAGCAGCTGTTCGAGAATGACATTACAGTTGTTCATGGTTCGGGCGTCAAGAAGGCCATGGTTCCACAGTTTCACCATAAACACTCTCCAGCACCTACACAATCACACTCACGTTACTCAACAAAAACCCACTTTCTTCTCTACAAAATTAAACAATAAAGGGAAAATGAGAGTTAAAATTACCAACCAATACAAGTCCGGTGTTTGAACCATGATGGGTCCATGTAATCTTGAGAACGCCTCACATGCCCATGGAATGTGACCATCTGCTAGTACTCTGCAAATGGGTCAAAAAAAAGCCATCCTTATCCTGAGTTAGAGTAAATGGAAGAGGATGTTATCTCATAATGTTACCAAAAGAACCACAAACTATATAACACATGTGACTCTCAATCTGTATACTGTTAAGACTCTGACATCACATGTACTGAAGAGAGATAAGTCATATATACCTCTGCTTCCTCACAAACGAGTTCCACATGTGCATCATCTGCTTCTCATTCTTAGTCACATCAACGAAATCATCAAGCATCTGAATGAAAGTAAAGTTTTCAACTAGTTAAAAATAAGAAAAAACCATTCAATGTATAAACTAATGGGGAATCAGACAAACTCTAAAATGTTAAAACTCTAATACATGCCCTTCTATCTTCAAAATCAGCCACATCATCATCAACTTCATCTTCACTATCTCGGTCAGACAGTACTTGTTCTAGAGCCATGGGCTGCAATAGTACACATAGTAAGAATTATCACAATCAATTGCAAATCTTCATAAGCAAGAGAGCTCAAAGAAGAAATAGATCACCTGAGCTCGATGAGAATGGAAGAACTGTCTCTTCTGAAGTAGGCTACGGCTATAGGAGACAAGAAAAAATTGAAAAAACTCAGTCACATCATTTGGGACTAGCAAAGCTACTTGTAGATAAAACTAAGGTAGAGATCTCAAAGCATGAACCATATACATACTTCCTCAAGTCCGACCGTTCTATAGATAGCTTCCTCGTTTTTGCGAACTGCAGCATCGTGCTTCCAGCTGCCGACTGCACATTATCTGGCTCACCACAAGACTGCACATCTGCAGGACTCGTGACAGGAGGAGCTTTTTGACCAGGCGACTCAGCAACAACGGTTTTTTCCGATTGCTTTACCGGCGGCATTTGGCTCTTCTCACTTCTAACAGAATCTGCATCTGATAATCCAGTGTAGTACAATTGGTTTTGAGTTTTGATGATTTCAGACCAGAGAATCATCCAATGTGCACATAAGAAAGTAGATTACTCAGTAAAATGATACGATTAATGGTTTTGAGTTTTGATGATTTCCTTTCAACAATTGGTTTTGGTGTTTTCCTTATTACATCATTTTTAAGAGTTTTCCTTTTTACATTAAGTTGTAGTCCTATATAAGGGTTTCTCACGATCAATAAGAAATCAACTTCCAACAATTAACCTTAGCTAAATCCCTCTTCTCTTCTTCACGCTAAACCACGGCTCCCAAGAGGAAGCCTCCGGCTCCAACTACTAGATTAAGGCGAGCCCAGCTAGTATCATAAAATGTAAAACTAGACAGGTTCTCATCGCAAAAGAAGCCATTTCTACAAATCCAAGTAAATGTGTATATCAATCAAACACATTACCATCAGTTTTATCTAGCACCTCGCAGCCTAATCCAAGCTGCTGCCCTTGCTTTGAGCTCCGTACCTGACTCTTTTGCCTCCTACGTCTGACTTTCTTTGAACTGTCATATATTATTTTTAGAGTTTTTATGGTCTCGAAGATTGACAGACAAGTGCTAGTAAGATATGTAAAGGTAACATGATAGGCCAGATAACTTACAAGAAACAGAATGTTTCCTTCTTCGGGTCAGGGACGTCCTCGTTAATCTGAAAAGTTTTATTTTAAGAACGTTTAGAGAACACTGTGCTAAGAGTAATCATCAATTTGGAAAAACTAGGAAGACTTGGAATATATTTTAGCACCAACTACTTCAAAAAGGTATGACACTCTTATATAATTCAGGACTTCATTCTACAGTCTAGCTTTGATGGCCACAAAAGTTAAGGGCCACAGCAACGTCATCGAGGACAATATCAGAGATCATAATGTTGCAAATAACAACGAAACATTCTAGTTCTCCTATTTAACCACTCACTGGGGACATTAATTTGGAAATTGAAATTTTCAGTGCCTAAAGGATCTACAGAAACAAATGGACATAAATTGAACAAACAAGATGATCTAACCTCGGAGATCATTGTCTCAGGCTTGAGGGAGACATTTACAGCCTGATATTCTTCAGATACCTAATAACCAAATGGACCAGATTAGTGACACCCACAAGAAGAAAACAGAAAAGAAAAAAAAAAGCAATAGTTTGAAGTTACAAACCCAAAACTCAAAATGGAAGAGATCATGGGTTGCTGGCAAGTGAAGTCTCAGGCCCTACAACATGATTGGGAACAAAATAAAAAGATTGCATCACTATAAAGACTAGTCACTACAGCTGTATCTTTGACTAAGAGGTATGAATGGGAATGGAAATGAAAGTCCACCTTCAAACTGGCACATTTTACTAAGCAGAATGGACAAGAAAAGTCTTCAGTTACTGGAAGACACAAAGCAAACAGAATCCAAACATTAATTTGCAATGTGAAGAAATGATACATATAATATATATGTATGGAACAAGTTAGGGAAAGAGATGATATATATGAATATGAAAACATGGTATAGTGCAAAATTACTTTCAGTCCTTTGCAATTTGTTGTTATGGTATCTGTAATTGAAAACCACATTCCCTTTTCGCAACCTATGAAATGAATGTAGCAGAGTGGTTTAGTGTCAACATGAAGAGATGGACATTATAAGTTGTAGAAAAGAGATTGTAGACTAGACTGAAGTTACCTGATAATCTGCAACAATGAAGAGGTAGAGATGTCATTGTATGAAAATGAATTATAAGCCGTTTTTTCCATTTGCCCAACTTCTTCTGCAGATACGGTGACATCCACTAGCTGTGGCGAGCTCTTCAGACAAGAAGTATAAGGACTATAAGATGCTATTACACAAAATTTTCAAGAATAACGAACAGAAGTATTGCAAAGTGTGCAAAGTTACCGAGGTGAGGGGATTGCTGGGAACCTTAATCGAGACACACTTTTCCTCACTCATAGACTGTAGCTGCAAAATTGGACAAGTTATACCAGTGATGTTTTCATTAAAACGGTGAAGATTGTAAACTTAACAAGATTCACATTAGCAATTTCTTCTACTTTAAATTCTCAAGTTACATGAAAGAAGTTAAATCCACAGTCCTACGAAACAAAGAGTTCTAAAAAATGGAAGAGCATATAGCCTACTTAAAGATTTTAGGCAATGTTACCTTTATGAAGCAAGGCTGCATTTCAACACGAAAGACTGTGTCTGCTTTCTGTCCCAAGTCCATGTCTGGATGATTATTCCATGATGAATAGAGCGATTGCATAGGTATTTTGCTCCATAGGCAATGTCCTCCTATGTTTCCTGCAAGGCCAAAAAAAAAGACTCTCATGATGATAGATCTATAGATGAAAGAAACTTCCAAGTTCCAAGAACACTTATTACTAGAAACAAAGCATCCCTGAATCTGAGGCTTCTATATTTCCACCATTATACGAACGAAAAACAGTAAATACCTGAATGGATTTTGCCTGAATCAATGCCAAATTGAGAATTTTGCGCACCAGCTACAAGAAAAAAGTAGTATTGAGATCATTTCATCTAAACACTCTAGCATACATGAATGTCTTTAAATAACATTGTACAACAGTCAATCTTACTCACCAAAGCTGATTAATAAGACAGCGAGTGATCCTGATTTCGCCTCCAAGGAGAGTCGACTCATATCAGGGAGAAGAAAGTTGGCTTGTGCTTGACTAACTCCATCAACCCCCACGACACCGGTTAAGATACATGCTCGACTGAACTTATACACTGCAGAATACTACAATTTGAGAAATTTCAACAACGAATACAAAATGTTAGCTATCAAAAGTTTAAGTTACAAATGATATCAAGTAAAGATCAAATCCAATTCTGTCTGAGGTTCAAACGCCTACCTCCTCTGCAACAGGCTCAGGGGAAACGAGTCTTGCCAGTAAAATATACAGAGGGAACAGCTTTTGAATTTGTACCCCAGAATCTACCGTGCTCGAAAGGAACACAGTCATTTGTAATCTACACCGCAGTAAAATGCTGATTAATTACTACTATCCACCAATGTGTAAAGTCTCAAATAAACATATTCTTAAAACCTTAGAAAGCATTTTGTAGAGGTATAGTCTAAACAGTTGCACAACACTGATGGAGATTCTGAACAGGAAAAGTTAAAAACTTTACCTCTTTTTAAGTTTTGTTTCAATCTTGTATTGCAAACATCGCTGAAGATACAAGGGCTACACAGGAAAGACAAGATAACTCGTTACACATGCTTGCTTACCCCAAAATGAATTCAACTCAAAAACTAAACCAATGCTTGTGAGATATGCACATTCATATACAGAGAGGTGAGATCTAAAGAAACACATACATTTCTAATAGCACGACGCTGGAGAATGTTGTATAGCTCTACAGGCTTGCAGTACGCTACCAAGCTCTCTTCAGCAGCGATCTCCTCCTCTTCCGCAGTATTAGGCGGACGAGAGTCTTCATTGCACATCTGATCTGTGCTTCTTGAACAGCTGTTGTAACCAGAGAACCCATAAGCATACACATATTAACAGAGAATTGTCTAAAAGCATTCTCAAAGCCGAGACATTTTAAGGGGAAGATAGATGATTACAAAAAGGCTAAAGCTTTTTAATGTTAGTATAGTGAAACAGAGAACATACGAAGAGGATTCACGAGTCACGAGAGGAATGCCTGGCATTCTCGCTACGAGATCATCAAAGACGCCATCATCACAGAGTTACAAAGGCTTCAGCTTTTCAACCTGCGAAATCGTAATAAACCAAAAAAAAATTAGGCCTTTTCTTTTCATGAGTCGAAATTCCACAATAGAAGACATCAGAAGCAGAAAATTAGCTAGAAATGTGAGAATTTGATGAATCAGTGACCTTGCAAAGATCTAAATCGGAATAATCCAAAAAAATCGGGATTGAGCTGAGATGAGGTGGAATCTAGAAGAAAGAATTGGAATTTCCGAGCAGATTCAATAAATTGACAGAGACTAGATTAAGATATGGAGATGGAACAGTTAACCAACACAAGAGAAAACGAACCCTAATTTTGAGAAATTATCTCGACGTGAATGGAGGAGAAGAGCGCTTTGGAGAAGCAATAAATAAATAGTGTTAAATTCAAAGACTGTTATAGTTTTATTTTATTTTCATCAAGACCAAGAAAATTGCGTAACCATTGTCTGAATCTTACCAACTCCCTCTCTCTCTCTCAGTCTCTCTCACGTGAATAATTTGTTACGGAAGCAGCGTATTTAAACTAGTCTTCTGTAGTTTCGATTGTAACACAATAAAACAATGGAATGACCGATAATTAAAATGATTAACAAATAGAGAAGAATTTATTTGACTAAATGATAAATATTTAAAATTATATTTGTAGTGTATATATGTTGAAAATATCAGTTGAAAAATATTTAAATATTATTCAAAATCGTTTCTAATTTTTTCAGTCAATATGTTTATAGAAGAATGATCTATATACGAAGTCACTAAAGCAAATAAGGTTACAAATCAAATCACTTTCAAATATTAGGAAACTTTGAAAATGTTTTAGCACTTGATTTGTCAAAAAAAATTTTAATATCAGCAAAAACGTTTAAATATTATTCAAAATTACTTCTAATTTTTTGGGTCAATATTTTTATAGAAGAGTGAGTCAATTTCATTAATTAGATTACAAATTAAGTCACTTTCCGGTATTAGGTAACTTTAAAAATGTTTGAACACTTGATTTATCAAATTTGCCCTTAACAGATATTTATTGTTAATAGAGTAAAAATCGATTGAATGGTTTTTTTGACAACATATACAAAACAATAGGAAACAATGAAAAAACAAAGATTTTATAATGATAAGCAGGTTGTTCGCCTCAACCGTGTTCTTTATACAATGGCAGCGGCTGCAACAGCGGCACAAAAATAACAAGGAATTGAGTCATTAAATTGGATCAATGGCTGAGATGCCCTTCGCGGTAAAATTTAGGGCAAAAAAATTTAAAAGAAAAAAGCAGACGAAACCACTTGTAGTGGTCCCGACAAACTAGGATCAATCGTCGGGATCACTACAAGTAGTTACTAAGAAAAACTAAGTCAAACTATCCAACTTTCACCACAGCAATCGATTTGTAGGCGAATCAGAGAAGGTAAGTATCGTAATCTTCTCGGTTTTATGAGATGAATATCGATATAGATTCCATTGTAACCGATTTGGATTGATCATGTAGGCATATGGCGCATACAAAGAGGCTGAATTATGGTTTAACTGATGAAGTTCCACCGGAGGTTCGAAGATCTAAGAGAACCTCTCAGGTTGTCTATGAAGACTCGGACCCAGAATCTTCAGAGAACGAAGCAGCAGGAGGCAACAATGGAGGCGACGGAAGCAGCCGAACCGTCACGGACGACGGCGCGTCCGAGTCTTCAATGGTATGTACCTGAACCATCGTTACTTGGTTTTCGAGTTTGAAAGAATTCGTTGGTTTTGGGTATCGAGTTTGGTTAAAGTACTTTCGTTTTGGGTGATTGATTGTATAGCGAATCTTTGTTTCTAATTTAGAATTTAGGCTATCAAGTTTTCATTTTCATTGATTGCTGATTGTTTGTTTCGAATTAGTAATATTATGAGTTTTTAGTAAAACTGGTAAAACTAGGGTCATTTCGTATGTTAAGAATTTCTGGAAAAAGTAATACTTGGTACAACTATGTTGCAGGGAACCGAGCCAATGCTTTCTATGGAGATGTACTTCCAACCAACGGAGTACGTAAAAAAGATCAAGTTGTCTACAAGGTGTTATATCTCGAAAGCAGTGGATTTACTGCTAAGTGGATTAAAGTATCCACTTAGACCAGAGGAGAAGAGTTGGTTTGTGGATCACCCCCAATTCAAACATTTCTTCCACATGCACAAGGACTCAAACCATAAGTTAATGGGGATGTGGTTGCCGATTCTTCGAACGGAGGTTACAGAGAGGAAAAAGGAAGCCTGGTTCATTGTGAATGGCGTGCCCATTCGGTATGGTCTACGTGAACACGCCCCCATCTCCGGTTTAAACTGTCGCAGCTATCCTCCTAACTATTCGGAAAATGGGCAGTATGGAGTTCGCGGACAAGCACTTTGGGGCGGGGAAAAAAATAAGATACTCAGATGTGAAAGAAAAGCTGGAGAATATGAAATATTCTCCAGATCGGTTAAGGATGGCCATCCTTTTCTTTCTATCAAGCGTCATTATTGGGCAGTCTAAGACAGGAGGTGATGCTACTTGTGTGGAGCGGTTCTTTCAACAAGCAGTCAGTGATCTGCGTTTGTGTAAGACATTTCCCTGGGGGAGATTGTCTTTTGATAACAATATGGAAGAGATCCAGCATACTGTGGATCATTTTAAAGGGGTTGTTAGCGGATCAAATTGGAATTTTCCAAGCTTCTGCATTCCTTTGGAGGTAAATATGAATATATGTAGTACTTATATTTCCATAGATTTGAAGCTAACTCGATATATATGTGGCATATGTAGCTTCTAGCGTTTGAAGCAATTCCATCACTGAAGAAGAAATTCCGAGAAGTTGTTCCATCTGCGAGGAAAACTTGTCCGAGGATGTGCAAGAGAAAGTTCAAAAAAAGCGCCATGAATGGATTTTCTCTCTAGGAAATAAATGAAGCACTTGGTACAACTAAGGTCAGTAATACTTTTAAATTCCAATGTTTTAAATTTTCACATTTTTAATTTATTTATGATTGGAATTGCACTCTTTGTTTATATCCACAGGAGATTGATAGCATCTTGGTCCCTTACAATGAGGAAGAAGCTTTTGTGGCTCGAGTGACTGAAGAAGATGACGATGATGATGTCGATGATGCTGTTGTTCATAGTTGGTTGAAGTGTATTAACGATGAAGACAAACCGGTCTGTTTTGAACAGATGTACAAAGAAGATGTAGCCGTTCGACTAGAAGAGCAGCCCGCAAACGCCGTCAATGCCGCGAACGCCGCAAACACCGCCAACACCGTCAATGCCGCCAATGCCGCCACTGGTTCTGTCGCTGACTTGGTTGAGGTCGTACAGAGTCTAAAGACGGAAATGGAGAGTGGGTTCAAGCAGATGAATGACAAGTTTGCTGGGTTCGATACAAGACTTGCAGCAGTGGAAGGCTATGTGAAAGAGCAATTAGATGCTCGAAGCATGTATGAGGACGTCGATTATGATACTTACATTCCTCGTTCTACTGTGAATAACAATGTGGTCCCGGAAGGAGCAGAGGTAAGATTTGGTTGACTTAGAACTTTAAACAAAAAAGTCATATTATGTAAAACTAAGTACAATTATGTGTTTTACAGGGAACCGAGCCAATGGATGAAGCAGATAAAGGAGCAGAAGAGGTGGTCCCAGAAGCAGATAGGGGAGCAGAAAAGGTGGTCCCGGAAGCAGATAAGAGAGCAGAAGAGGTGGCGGATGGAGAGAAAATAGCAGAGGTAAAATTTGGTTGACATAGACCTCTAAACGGAAAAGTAATACTATGTAACACTAAGTACAATTGTGTGTTTTGCAGGGAGAAGAGCAAGAGGCGGAGACAGGCGTTGAGGAACTAGAGAAGAAACAAGAGAAGGAGGCAGAGAAGGAGGCAGAGACAAGCGTTGAGGAACCAGAGAAGGAACAAGAGAAGGAGGCAGAGAAGGAGGCGGAGACAGACAGGCGTTGAGCAGGAACCGGAGGTAATTTGTCTTTTACAAGGAGTTTAACTGTTTGTATTTTGCAGGGAGTTTAACTGTATGTGTTTTGCAGGGAGAAAAGAATGAAGCGGCTAAGGAGGCAGAGGAGGAAGAAGCAGAGGAGGCAGAAGAGCGAAGCGGTAATTCTCCTTCAATAATGCGATGTAGCAGTCTTATAAGAGTAGGAGACAAATTGCTGAAGGTCCCTAACAAGTGTGTGGCTGCTGTTTTATCTAAAGCTAAGGAGATAGAGGAAGCTAAGGAGGCAGAGGGAGCGAAGGAGGCAGAGGTAAATTTTCTAATTCTTATATCCTGAAACAGAAATGTCATAATGTAACACTAAGTAAAACTATTTGTGTTTGCAGACAGAAGGGACATCTTCCGCGAGGGGGGGGGGGGGGGGGGGGGGGTAAGCAGGTGTATCGAAGGAAAAAAAGAGGTTCACAGTCCCAAGTGGATAAGGAGGTAGCTGACGAACCCCAGAAGAGGAAGATAAAACGTTCCCAGCATGTGCAACCTCCTTACACAGAGGAAAAGGCCAAGAGAGGCAGAAAAAAATAGTCTAGTTAGACTTAAAACATTTTCTATTTTGGTTTTCAGTTGGACTATAATTCGAATGCTGATATGTTGTTTGGATATAAATTTTGGATTTAATGTTTGGATTTAAACGTATTTCATTTGGTATGGTGTTTTAATTTGTTTGATTTGGCGTTTTGATTTGTGTTTGACAAAGTAACAAGCAAATGAAAATACTAAAAATAGTTATAAAACATTAAAGTGCAAGACATACATTTTAACTACTTAAACACTAAAAATAGTTATAAAACATTGAAGTGCAAGGAAACGTTAGTCTTGAACAACAATTAAAGGAAATTGCAGATTCGTTAAGTCTTGAGCTTGGCTATCTCTCCGGCTTGGATCTGAATCTGTTTTCGCATTTCTTCAATCGTCTTGCTCTGCTCTTCAAATTTTATAACTAGCTTCTCAATCTCTTGTTCGACTCCGAAAACCCATGGCTCACGAAAGTGGAGTCCATCATCCTAGCAAAAAAAACAAAAAACGAGCAACATCCATTATAGTTATACCTAGTATTTCAAATTTTACACCCGAAGAACATCTAAATAGTTTAACCTAGTTTTACTAGTTTTACCCAGAAAAAAATCCAGATCTGAAATTATAGAGATTATACCTTAAATTTGGTGCATGTGAAGTACCTACTGCCTTGTTGAGTATCGAAATCGTGTTTAAATTTTGGAGAAGGAGATACATCGTGCTTGATAGATCCACCACATGGGCATCTTCTCGGAATCCCATATTGGCCGTCGGCGACGAATCCAACCATGTCCCAATGCTGCTTCATCTTCTCCATTTCCTTGCGGTGCCTCTTCTCTTCCTTCAACTCCTCCTCGTATGGGTCGATGAGGAAATTGTCCGTGTAGTGATAGCTACAATCTGAATCCATTTTAAGAGCGAGAGAGAGATCAACTAACCTAAAGAGATAAGAAAGAACGAACCCGAGCGAAGGTGAGAAGAGAGAGAGAGAGAGAGAGAGAGAGAGAGAGAGAAGGGAGGAGG